CCGTGAGCATGCCATTGCATTTCAGCCTGTGCGACAAAGTGACTCTGACTCAAAAATAAATAAATAAATAATGACAGCTAAAGGAGGAATAAGTTCTAGTGTTCTATAGCACTATAAGGTAACAATAATTAACAATTTATTGTATACTTTCTAATAGCTAAAAGAGTGATTTTGAATGTTCCCAGCACAAAGAAATGATAAATGTTTCAGGTAAATAGGCATGCTAATTACCCTGATTTGATTGTTAACATTTATACACATATAATCAAAAATCACATCATATATGTACAATTATAGCATATCAATTTAAAGTAGTAATAAAAGTGAAAAAGAGAGGGGGAGAGAGACGGAAAAGGGAAAACAACACCATCTCTCTCTTAGAGACTGGATCAGTCCTGGACACTGTGAGCATGTGGAACATCACTAGACTATTCTAATTTGTCCTCCTCCTTTTTTTGCTTATGCATTACTGTCCTGCACACCATAGGAACTTGACCAATGCCTATCTGATTTCATAAGTAATGGAGTGCAAATAATGTCCACAAAATATTTATATTGTTTGAAAATCACTAAGGTGTTTGTAATTTGAAGAGAGACATGATTGTTTACTGTGATTCAACCAGTTGTTGATCATTAGAAGATATTTTCGGATGCCTGTTTTATGAGATTATGGCCTGTGGATTTAAAATAGATATTTAAAATGACAGCACTGTCTCTGACTTATAAGAAATATTCATTGCTTTTAACTTGTTAGGAAATTAGAAATATAACTAGGCTATAGAAACTTTGGAGACATAAATTTGAAATGGATCCATACCAGCTTGTACAGGGATTTTAAAGCCATGTGATAAATTTTAGACAGATGGTTCATTCAAGTAAATATGCACAAGGCCTTCTCTGGTAGACTAATGAAAACAGGGTCTCATAACTTTTATAGTGCTTATCCAAAAAAGTTCAACAAAGCCCCCTTGAGCATACTTGGGAAACTTCAGATAGACCCCAGCAGATTCCTGGCCTCCAGCACTACCCAGGGCTTCAAATGTGTCATCCTGGGCATCCTTCCAAAATAGAATCCCCTTTGGCCACGTTTTCTCACAAATGCTTTCTTCACCACACTGTTCTGCTCTTGCTCCCAGCCTGAGCCCAGAATCCTCTGGACATTTGCCTCCTCATCACTGCTATTAGACCTTCAGAGACCGTTCCCCCACGGACTTTCAGGTCTGGAGCATTTATCTCATCGTCTTCCTCTCTACTTCACCTCCTACCATCAGTAGTTTTACCTCCATGATTCTCAGTATCTTCATTTCCACGTCAGCAACTCACATGCATGTGTCCTGAATTGCTCCGTCCGAGAAGTCACCACCTCTGGCATCCCATTTAGAAATAATGGCAAGTTACCGATCAGTGGATACAAAATCTGGTGAAAACACTCCTGTAACTCCTACCCTCTTTCCTTAGTCCATCAACCCATTCTGGCTTCACCACTTTCCACATCCAACCTAAGTCCTGTGGGGCGTGAACAACACTCCAGCACTCTCTTCTTCCTTCCCCTGCAATTCACTCTAAGAATCCAGAAACTTGGCTCAGTCCTCCCTTCTTTGCCATTCGTTTTCATTCCCAGGCCACTAAGCACAATTAGCATAGAGTACATGGCTATTTGAGCTATCACTTCCAATTTGTAGATTCAGCAGGGGCCAAAATTCCCCTTACTTATCCTTTTTTATCCCATAGATCAGCTTCTTCTACTCTTCTCCCATGCCCCCCACCTCCCCCACCCAACAGGGTTTTGCTTTGTCGCCCAGGCTGGAGTGCAATGTTAACGATCATAGCTCACTGTAACCTCGAAATCCTGGGCTCAAGCAGTCTTCCTGCCTCAGCCTACTGAGTACCTGGGGCTACAGGCACGAGCCAAGACTCCCAGCTAAAGCTGCTTCCATTCCTTACTGCAGTCTTCTAAATCTTCACCGTTCCCCTTAAGTCTCTTCCCCCATCCATATCCCCTAAGTCTTGTAGCCAAATAAGCCTGGATTTAAATGATGGCTCTAACGTTTACTAGTATTATAATCTTTGGCATAATTAGTGATTTCTCTTCTTCCCAGTCTTGTCTCCTCTTAAATCCCTTTTGTGTCTAACTCTAAGCATGTCAGTGTCCTCAGTTAAAATTTGTCAGTGCTTCCCATGACTCCACAGTGAAATCCAAACTTCTCAAACGGGCATAGGAGGCTCTGTATCCCCAGGCCTGTTTTCCTCTTCAGCTGCATCTGCTTCCCATCCTCATCCTGACCATACCAACCTGTGTGTAGCTTCCACAGTGGACATGAGGTTCTGTGCTCTGCCTGTGATTCTTCTCTTTCCTGAAAGTTTCTCTCCTCATCACCACTGTCTCCTTTCTTAGTTAGGTAAATGTTTTATTCATCTTATACAATTCGGGCATCACATCCCCTGTGAAGCCTTTCTAGAGGTCACTTCTCTGTAAGATGAGCAGAACAAAGAGGCAAGACAGAATATTCTCCCTTTTTTAATTACTGAATTTTATATTTAGAGTACTTTCAGGCTCTCAGCAAAATTGAACAGAAAGAAAACAGAGAGTTCCCATATATGCCCATACCCACACACACTCAACTTCCCCCACTACTGACAACCTACATCAGAGGGGTGCATTTGTTACAGTTGTGAACCTACATTAACAAATCATTGTCACCCAAACTCTGTCGTTTACATTGAGACTCACTCTTGGTATTGTACATTCTGTGGGTTTTGACAAATGTATCATTACATATATCTGCCATTATAGTATCACACGGAATAGTTTCGCTGCCCGAAAAATCCTTTGTGCTCTTCCTATTCATGCCTCCCTCCCTGCCAACTCCTGGCAACCACTGATCATTTTATTGCCTCCACAGTTTTGCTTTTCCAGAACATCACATAGTTGGAATCCTGTAGTACATAGCCTCTTCAGAGTAGCTCTTTTTACTTAGTAATGTGCATGTAAGTTTCCTCCATGTCTTTTCATGGCTTGATAACTCATTTCTTTTTACTGCTGAATAAGATTCCATTGTCTGGATGTATCACAGTTTTTTTTATCCATTCACTCACTGAAGGATGTCTTGGTCGCTTCCAAGTTTTGGCAATTATGAATAAAGCTGCTGTAAACATGTGCAGGTTTTTGTGTAGACATACGTTTTCACTTTATTTCGGCAAATACCAAGAAACATGGTTTCTGGATCATATGGTAAGAGTATGAATCTGCCAGTCTTCCAGAGTGGCTGTATAATTTTGTACTCCCACCAACAATGAATGAGAGTTCCTGTTGCTCCATATCCTTGGCAGTACTTGGTATTGTCAGTGTTTTAGATTTTGGCCATTCTAAAAGGTGTGTAGTGGGGTCTTACTGTTGTTTTAACTTGCAATTCCCTAAAGACAGATGATGTTGAACAAAATCTTTTCATATGCTTCCTTGTCATCTGTATATCTTCTTTGATGAGGTGTCTGTTCAGGTCTTTTGCCCATTTTAAAAATTGGGTTGTTTATCTTCTTATTGTCAGTTTTAAGAGTTCTTTGTATACTTTGGATAATAGTCCTTTATTGCAAATATCTTTTGCAAATATTTTTCCCTTAGCCTGTGACTTGTCTTCCCATTCTCTTGGGTTTGTTGTTGTTGTTGTTTTACTAATTCTCTCCCTTAGACATTTACATGTTGGCCATACCATACAATACCACAGAAAAGAATACAATTTTATATCTTGAGAGACAAGTATGTGCCAGGCTAATATTCAGAGAAAACAGTTTAGTCCACTGCCTACTGCCCCATTTTGAATGAATAAAATAAATCATCAGAAGTGAAATATCAACCATTTGCAGTGATTAATTCACCAAGAAGTGTGTGTCTATTTACCCATGGTGCATCACTCAAAATAAGTATTGAAGCTCATAGTAAAAAGGTATTTTCTTAAGCTAAGTCATATAATATGCAAAAACTATAATGTCAATTATATTCTCCAGAACACTTTAACCATTACGTACCATAACCCCATTTTGTAGATGAACAAGCAGGTACAGGAAAGCAAAGTACCTTGCAAATATAGCACCCCCAGTCAGTAGTAGTGCTGGAGCAGCACCAGTGTCTGATGTCACCACACCCAACACTTGCTCCATTACACTGCCATGAGCCACTCAGTACCACTGCTGGGGAAACCCTTGCTGGAGCAGGGGCAATGCTGTGTGAGTAGTACTGGAGAAAACACACACAGAGAGAGACTGAAAGAGAGAGATTTGTCCTCAGAGAAGCACAAAATAATCTAGGAAAATGGCAAGCTACCCCACTAGTAGATATAAACATAAACAATATCAAATGAGCCAAGTGTAATTTAATCAAGGGTGAGACCCAGTAAAATGGAGTTTTATTATGGATTCTGGAGGAAAAGCATGTGATGTAGTTAAACCAAAATGGTATACCTTTTAGTAGAGACTACTTTTATTTACCTTAATAAGGTTGTATATCATCATTAGGACACTGGGCATATTGAAGAGAAAAAGGAATCACCTATTTCTTTTATGTGGAAGACTGGTATATAAATGGGGAGCCGAATAGTGCCCAACACATTTTAGGGCCTCAGGATATATTTACTAGCTGTGTGGGTACCTGGAGGGAGGGAGGGAGGGATGGTGGATACTGAATCTGTTTGCTTGTTTAGTTCTGCCTCCTTTATTCTGAATATTAAGATATCTGATTCGATTTTTCAATTCATAGGTCAAATGTCCCTGTCCTCACAACCCATAATACAGACTGCAGAAATAGACCTTATGTTTTCAACTCCCCTTTCCTTCACAACACCACCTTCTTGGCCTTCTGTCTTTTCACCAGAGCCCCCCACCCTGGACTTCTGTCCTAAGAACGTAAGGTGGAGTGATAGAAAGGCAAAACACCAAGGATGTTACCACCGTGTAATTTTGAGCTATCACCAGGTGACGTTTGTTTTCTTTCCCTCTTTATTCTGTAGTTATCATGTGATGTAAAACTGGATCCTCGTCCAGAATACCACCGGTGTATACTTACCTGGCATCACCAAGAACCACTGCCTTGGGCACAGAGTACAGGTTAGTCAGTCACATCTACCGTACCTCTAGGCACCTGTCCTGTTAACACACAAATTTTGTATAATCTTCTTCCTTGATTATAACTAATTTTGTAACTATTATACATTTTCCTGTTTGAAAGTTTAGATAAGTTAAATTATTCCTTAACAGTACGACATAACAGGACAAGAATAAAAACAATTTAATAGAAGTTTAGTTATTTTATTGAGCCATATTTTATAGATCAACATTTGAAATACAAATCTAGAGTTACAGAAGATTTTGATCTGTTTGTTCAACCAGTAAGTTCTGGACATAACTTTGGCTGTAGAAAAAGGAGGGCACTGTGGCTGTGTCATCCTGAAATGTGAGATTAAAGCCCAATTTATAATGTGATTCTCTGTAGCCTCTACTGTACTCTAGATATTGATAAAGGGCAAAGGAGTCAATATTGATAAGCCAGAGTCCTATAGTTATCTCCTCTAGGCTTTAAAATTTTGCCCTCAACTTCTCTGTCATATTTTGCCTAACTTTTGATGTGACTCCAGAAAAATTATACTGCCCTTTAAACAAAGATCCCATCAAGTGGAAATATCAACTAACATTGTGACTAAGTATGTGGGCTTTACCATCACAGACACCTGCATCCAAATCGGCCACCAGCCTAGTTAGTTAGGCTCCCAGGCAAATTACCTAAGACTCTTTTGAGTCTTGTGAAATCAAACAAGAGAGTTAAATAAAGTGCATGGTACCTTGTCTGGCACTTAGTAAAGAAATGGTAGCTGCTGCTCTTATCATTATTTTAGTAGGTTTTTAAAACCTCTCTTTTCAGACAAACATTTAATGTTTCGGCCTGAATTGAGAAATTCTGTGGCATTTTGCATAATGCTATAAAATTCTGATTTTATTTTTTAAGCAAGAATTTCAGGGAGGAAATGGTAGGATATAGTAGCATGGTCATCTGAGAAAGGTCCTAGGAAACCTAGCCTTCTCTCCCCTTGTAAAGACCTGCATTTCTGTTGATTTCTGCTTTGAAAGGGCTCTGGGGCTCCATGCGTGTGCGCCCTGATGTGGATGCTGCTGTAATGAGAGTATTTCTTTCCAGGTAATCAGATGAGCAGCCGTCTGATGAGCATGCGCAGTGCCAATGGATTGTTGATGCTACCTCCAAAGACAGAGCAGTACGTGGAACTCCACAAGGGCGAGGTGGTGGATGTCATGGTCATCGGACGGCTATGATGGTCACGAGGAGGGGGAAGCTTTGATGCATGTCCACATATCATTGACTGTATCCTGTAATATGCAACGGCACAGCTAGTTTTTCTGATTTGGATAAAAGTTGATCTGTATAGTCAACATCTTGAACTACATTTCAAATGAATTTAAATACCTTTTAAAGAAAAAACACCTAAAAATAAATCTTGAAAGACAATTCTATTCTGATTATATCAAAGCAAATTTTTCCTTTCTTGCAAATTGCTTTGTGTGTTCAATGCTAGGTCTGATAGCGATAGCTTTAGTAGACAGCGGTAGGTGCCTGCAGAACTTGTGTTTTTCTCATCTTTAAACTACAACTACTTATGCTCTTAAATCAAGGCTGTCTGCTTATTTATACTAGCGTAGGCAACACTTGGATTTCCCTTCTTAGTATGCTTCATAACCGCTTTACAGAGAGCTTTTGCTTGTTCTTTCTCATGTATCGTGTTTATGTGCACAGTGCCAAAAGAAGACTGACGGTGGAGGCCCCACCCTGCCTCCAGACCGTCCCTGCAGAGCGTCCGGGGAGGGTTCCCACCCTGGTAGCCTCACAGCACAGTACTCTCGGGCAGTAACTGGATACCTTTTATTTGAACAAACAAACTGAAGAAAAATGCTTCCTTAAGTGCTGACAGCCTTTTTAACCAATACATTTAAAATTGTACAGAAAAAAATAAAATCAAAGACTGATCTTGTACAGATATTAGTGTTACCAGCATTCATGTGGAAATCAAGAGCAAAGACAAAATAATGTTAAACAACTCTGTACCATAACATTTTCTGTAATGATACTGAAACTTAATGAATAAAAAAAAAATCCTTGATCATTATTTAAAAATGTATTGTGTTGACCTTGTCATTATAAAAGAGAAGATTGCCATGCCATTCTCGAGTTCTGCCTGGATAAAAGGAAGAGTTAAGATGACCTACCAAGGTTAAACTATGGTATAGTGCAACTCTGTGTCTTACTATAGTGTTTGGAAAAAATAGCATTGTGATTTGTAGCACTGTGAAAATACAGATTAGAAAGTAAGAGAACCTGCAGCCAGTCTAATGTTTCTGGTTATAGCAGAAAAATAGCAAGCAAATTATGAGAAAGAATTCTTGATGACTTAGAGGGAAAAATTATTAGTTTAGATGCCACAGAGGCAAATTTCACACATCTACAGTTATTTGGAATGGAGGGGGGGAAATAAGTAATGAACTAGAAAATTGCAGGTGGGTACCTGGAAATGGTTTTAGCATATTGAAAAGGAAGTAAGAAATGGGGAAAATCTGTGCTGACCATAGAAAATACAACAAATATACTCTATCCTCAGTGGCACCCTTAGTAAAAACTTAGGGGCACTTTTCAAACAGAAGTACCAGGGAGATGTCACATAAGCTGTGACGTGTGAATGCCAAATGATGGTGACAAAGGCAAGTAGTAAAGGAATGTTGGATACTAATAGTTGGTATTTCCAGAGTTGAAAATAAAATGTTCTATTTTAAATTTTATTTTGTATTTACAACGGAAGAAGATGAGGTTGGTTAGTTGAAGTCAAATGAGGGAGTGTGCAAATGGTTCATTAACCTGTATTCATTCAAGAATCTATTTATTAAGCATCTATTATGTGCTTGGGTACAAAGTTCATCATGTGACTATTTACAAAGATTGCTAGGGCAGAGTACCCAACATCACACTCCATCAGGGAGATTTTTTTTAATGTGTAAGTACCCAAAATATTTAATATATTTGATAAATGTATTTGTGTAGAATGTAATGAATGCCGTAACACAGATCTAAAGGGTTGGAGGAGTTCAAACGAAGACTTCCTACAGGGGAGACTTCAGGGGGTAGGCCTGCATTTTAGTGGGTCTTGAAGGAAGTGCAGAGTTTTGAAGATGATGGCACAGGAAGAGAGGTATTCCAAAAACATAGAATTATAGACAGTTGATAATTATTGTGTTATTAACAAATAATTATAGAATAGATAACTCCTATATCTCTGATATAGGAATAACGACTCCTATAAGATTGTTGTTAAAGTTAAACATATGAGAAGTGCTGAGCATTGTGCCTGGCACACAGTAAGCTCCACAAAGTTTGGAATTTTTGTTGTTGTCATTGTTGTTCATTGATACAATCCCCAAGTCCCTAGAAGAATCTCTGGCATATGTGCATATGTGTAAGCATCAGTAAATATGTGTTCAATAAAACACATTATGTAGCACTTACTACATGCCAGGCATTGTTCTAAGCACTTTACATATGTGTAATTTTCACAACAACCCTTACAAGGGTTATTATTCCTGTATTATAGATGTGGAAACCGAGATACAGAGAGATTAAGAAACTTGTCCGTGGTCACACAGAATAGGAAAGGGCCAAGGATGAAAATTTAGCCATCTGTCTCTACTTTTTAGAGACTCTTTAAGAGTCCATACTCTTAAACACTAAGTTCTAGAAGAAAATTGATATATTTATAAAACTGAAAAAGTACTATAAAGTTCTTAAATACCAAGTTCAGGAGTCTAGTTTTATTCTCAATAAAACTGTTAGAGATTCTTGGTAAGGGAGTGTCACCATCAGAGCTAGCCTTTAGGGAGAATGCTCTGGCCACACTGTGTAAATAGGCTAGACTAGGGAGAGATGAGTGAGAGACACCAGGTAAGACGTGATGGGGGCTGTGCAGGTGAGGGGTAGAGGTGACGGTGATGGGAAGGCTGGGACAGGTGAGTGTGTTTCTGGAGGTGAAAAATGGAGAGAACTGTATGACTGTTTTCAAGTTTGGAAAGGAAGTGAGAGATGACTCAAAGTCTTCAGTCTTGGCTGACTAAGAAAATGTTAAACCATTAACAAGAAGAAAGTCAGAAAAAATGGATTTTGAGGAGGAGCTGATGAGTTTGGGCATGTGTTCGTGATGCCAGAGAAGCACTATGGCAGATGCATCCTGTTGGCATTTGAAAGCACAGGTTAGGAGTTCAGAAAAGAGGGCCGAGCTTGGTGGCCCAGCCTGTAATCCCAGTACTTTGGGAGGCCAAGTGAGTGGATTGTCTGAGCCCACAGGTTCAAGTCCAGCCCGGGAAACTTTGCAAGACCTCATCTCTACAATAAATCAAAAATTAGTCAGGCATTGTAGCATGTACCTGTAGTTCCAGCTACTTGGAAGGCTGAGGCAGAAGGATTGCCAGAGTACAGCAGGTCGACGCTCGAGTGGCCGTGAGTGTGCCACTGCACTCCAGCCCAGGTGATGGAGTGAGACTCCAACTTAAAAAAAAAAAAAAGTTCAAAAGAGATGTAGGCTGAATACAGCCTTGGAGATGATTATATAAAGGTGGTACTTGAAATGTAGGGGTGGATGGAAAAGATTATCGAGGAAAAGCCTTGCCAAAAGAAGAGGACAGGCTTTGAGGTATTGGAGAAAAAACCATGAATGGACTGAGGGGAAGAGGAGTTCGTAGGAGAGAAGAAAAGAGAGTACAAACCAAGGAGAAGAGTCTGCAGGAAGAAGGATAATCAACTGTCAAACACAGAAGAAACATCCAGAAGGATGAGGGCTCTAAAACATGCACTGATTAGGCAATCATTTGCGAGCTTCCAGAGTGCAATTTCAGTAGTGCCTTGAAAGCAAAAGCCAGATTGCAAAATGGACACTATGAATATGAATTCTGTGGAACTCGTGTGTGAGAAGATAAAGACACAAGAGGGTAGCTTGAATCCTTAAAAAGGTAGAGGGAAGATTTTGGTTTGTGGGTTTTGAAAAAGGAGAAACAGCAGTGGTTATTAAACAGTGGTATATTGAAAGTGGAGAAGAGGAAAGAAGGGCTAGATTTAAGGACCTTGGTGGCCTAATTAGGCAGGGGTAGAAAAGGGACATTTTTCCTCCTGAGTTAGAAAAGGGAAATGATATGAACACATTTGAAATGGATACAAGGAAAATTTAAAGTTTGAGGTTCAGCAGAATGGTTCCACTTGGCACAGTGGACATCAGTGTCATCTAATCTATGTGCATGTATTTGGCCAAAATTATTTAAGAATTAAGCATGTGTGACATAAGTCTTCTGTCTTAGTAGTTAATAAAAGACGGTAGAAGTTGTTTTCAGGTTTTTATATCTGTGTGACAGTTAAGCAGTTCATTTTTAAGCAGATTTTTTGGCTCTGTTTTGGTTGTTTCAGCTGTATTACACAATGGAAAAAACATAAGCACCTTAAGACTACCAAGTAAATGCTTGGCGATGTTGCATGTTACAGCAAATTAGTTTCTTGAATGGCTTTCATTTTTTAAATTTGCTAACCAACACATCTCCGTAGATCTAACCTATTGCCAGCTCTTGATCTACATGAAGCCCTAACAAGGTAAGCCATTATCATTCCCAAGAAAGCAGAGTTTATGTAAGTATAGTATTCAAAGCAACTAAACCGTATCTTGTGATTCCAGTGATAATAGGTCTAGATTAGATCATGCATTGCATTCTAACATGTTTATAAGAAGTGTTATGCTTGACTCGCTAAGACAGTGCTACTGCTTTTACAGAATCATCAATAACTTGGCCTGAAACCAAAAAGTTAAAGAATTGTTTGGTCCTGCATTTCGTATGGTCAGTTACCAATATTTCTCCCAGAATCAACGAGGGAGAGGTATAAGGGAATCAGAACCTAGAAGCTCAGAGGTTGGGATCCCTTGGGATCTAGAACTCAACCCTCCAAAAACAGGGCACTACCCAGCTGATGACCCTGGGGTTGCCACAACAACACAGTTTAGAACCAGCTGCTATTGCCAGATGAAACAACAGGCCAGCTGGAAGGAACACGGGTCCCTTTTTCCTCCTGCTTTCCAGGCTCTGTCTAGTCTAACGCAACCTAGCAGGAGCCAGCTGGAGAAGAAAATGCAGTTTGCAGAGTTCCAGCCACAGCACACAGTGCAGAGTCTGCAGTGGCGGGCCTGGGGCTGAGAGTCCGTCGCTTGCCGAGTGATCAGGAAAGGGCTCTTGCACCAGGTGACATCTGAGCTGGGTTCCACGTGTGAAGGTTGGGAGAAGAGCATTTCAGACTGAGGAAAGGGCTTAAAGAACACAGCTCCGGAAGGAGACGGGAGTGTGACAGGCGGGGAAAATCTGAATAACAGTTGGGGAGAACAGAGGTCCAGATGGAGCCCAGTGAGGCTCCCACATGCACAGGCTCTTGAGTGCAGCCCTAAATCCGCACACCTCGTGATGTGCGTCGCACACGCTAAGGACACTGGGAGGCCGCTGCAATGTGAGAAAGAAATCAAGTCAGGTACGTCTAAACTCCAGGTGAATAGCGGCACCATGCTAGATGGTTCCTGTAGACAAGCACCGCCCTGTCTCTGCCCACACCTGCCCCTCTGCCTGCATTTTGTTTCCTGGCTAATGGCCCCATCGCTCATCCCATTTCCCAAACCAGAAGCCTGAGTCATCTTTCTTCTCACTCCCCACATTCTGTCAACTCCACTAAGAGTCCCTAAATTAACCCCTGCCTTCCCATTCCCTCTGCCACTGCCTTAGCCTCTGGGCCTCTAGAATTGGCTCCCCAAATCTATTGTTTGCTCTCAGGGAGGCCAGTCACAAACATAAATCTCCCCATGCAGAACTTTGTTAGAAAATCACTGCATCAGATGAGGCCCCAACACCCAGCATGGCATTCAAAGCCCTCCGCAGTCTAGTCCCTCCTTCCTCCAACCTGCTGCGGCACCAGACCATTTGCAGTCAGTCACCCCCTCAGACCCTGTCATTTTGTGCTTCAGTGCCTTTCCTCAGGCTGGCTCATCTTTCAAGACCCAGCTTGCACATCAACTCCTCTATGAGGCCTCCCCCAAGTCCCCAAATTGGACAAAGT